AAAATATTCATTATTATCCGGTACAGTTTGGTATTGAAAATGAGCAAAATCGGTTCACATCAAAATTTAAAACAACTCCGAAAAAAATAAGCATTTTTATACATTCTGATGTAATTTTCTCGAAAACTATGCAAGATAATTTCATGAAAGTCATCTTACATTCGTTTCTACACAAGATCTTGGTTCCTGCTAAAAATTACCAGAATCGGTCCATAATTTCATATACCTCCCATACAAAAGTACATATTCCCGGAAAATGAGATTTTTGTTAATAACTTCCGTCAGAATGCTGAAATCTTCACAAAATTTTACAACTTAAAATCTTATGTTAATAGAATTCATTGGGAGAAAAAATTTTCTGGATTGGTACATAATTGGACATAGCTCCCATACAACTCATTACTAAATTAAGAAATGCATATAATGTTTGGTACAAGTATTGCTCACATATACAGAAATATTACTATGAAAGTTTTTTCTGATCGGTCCATAACTGGTCATAGTTCCCATACAAGGTCTCTTCCCGAAAATCACTTAAACGCGCATAACTCATTACTAAATTAAGATATCCATATAAAATTTAGTACAAGTATTGCTCATATACTCAGAAATATTACTGTGAAATTTTTTTCCGATATTATGTCATTAGAATTCATTGGGAGAAAAAATTTTCTGGATGGGTCCATAATTGGACATAGCTCCCATACAACTCATTACTAAATTAAGATATGCATATAATGTTTGGTACAAGTATTGCTCACATATACAGAAATATTACTATGAAAGTTTTTTCCGATCGGTCCATAATTGGTCATAGCTCCCATACAAGGTCCCCTTCCGATAATCACTTAAACGCATATAACTCATTACAAAATATTGATATCCATACATTTAGCACAAATATTGCAGAAGATATAGAATTTTGAAATTTTGTCTTTATATACATAATTGGTCATAGCGACTTTTACGAAAATCTCTTAAACGCACATTACTCATTAAGCTATTGATACAAAATTTGGCACAAATATTAGTTTGGTATACAAAAATTCTATTTCAAGATTTTTTCACGATCGGTCCATAACATGGGTGCGGTCGGTCCCATGCAAGTGTCCCTTCAGAAAATCACTTGAACACACATTACTTATTACTAAATTACGATATAGATACAAAATTTGACTGAAATATAGGTTATAAGTACAGAAATTTTGCTTAAAGAATTTTTTACGATCGGTTTATAATTGGTCATATCTCCCATACTAAGTCTTGCCCCTAAAAGCAATTTAATCGTATTTAACTAATTGCATTATCAATTTGTGTAGAACAAAATTATATATGTATATGTATTTTGAAAATCCTTAAATCTTTCACACACATGCATATTATTAAATATCGTTAAAGCATATCTTAGGGCGCTATAAAAATATAAAAGAAAATGGGGTTTGTGATGTTCAATAAATCTTGTAATTGTAACTGTTTAAATCTTGGGGTTTTTCTATTTAAGACATGAGAAAACTTATTTCTACAAATATTTGATCAATTAAAAAAGTATTAATATAAAAATAGCTGGTGGAGGGTATTTAAGATTCGGCTCAGCCGAATATAGCACTCTAACTTGTTTTGTTTTATTTCTGTTATTCCTCTAATTATATAGAGCATTATTCAAATAGAAAGTGCTTTTTAGAATTTTTGAATTTTGGTGTTAAAGCACTTGTGAACAATGCTTTAAAGGGTTATTCTACCTTTTTTCACTCTATTTTAAATATTGGACTATATACATTAAATTCCAGTCATTTTTGGTAAAGATAGCCGACAAATAAATATTATTTCGATATGGTACACTAAGAATTCCCAAATATTGCAAAATTTGCCCTTTGAACTCTACAGTTTATGGGTTAAGAATGTCCGATTTTAATACAACTTCGGATATATATTTTGTTTTATCTGGAATATAATACTCTGATAATACTTTATTTAAAATATACATCAGTAAAGAATTAATATGTATTCTCTAAAATATTACAAAAAATGCGATTTTCCCAAAATCCGCCGAGTTCAAATCGCAGGTACAGCTAAACTGTAAGAAATATTGATCTAATTTACAGTTTAATAGCCTTATCTATTGACCATAAATCCCCATGAGATATCCTAAAAAGTTTGAAATTTGTTTAACAAAGATTCAAAAAAACTGAAATTGGAGATTTGAAACGGTCGTTGAAAAAATTAAACTTTTTTGACCATAGCTGAGAAGAAGTTTGCGTTATCTTATAAGGGCAAAAACTAATATTCGAGTAATTATAGATATATTTTAAGTAACTAAATGTTTTTTTAGAATATATCCCAAAAAAAGTATATTTTTTTGTCACATTTCGAATTTATGTGCTGTGGGACACGTTAATGGCCTGGGGAATTTGCAATAACTTTTAAAGTTTTCAAGCAATTTTTGTGTTTTATATCTTTCCGAAATGATTACTCTGTGCACATTACGATTCATTTACAATTCAAAATTTATTACTAAATGGCCAAATTTGAGCAAAAACTGAAAAAAATCGATATTTTCCCCTTGTAAATGCACTTGAAAACTTCAGAGCCTTTGCGGTACCTGTTAACGTTATCCTATCAGACTAATTTTTTGTATGATATAGTTTTATAACCCAAAGAACAATTCTAGAGGGGGACGGCCAAAATTCGCAACTTCGTTTTTTTGGAGCACTCTAACCTACATATATAAGATTTGCAAAAGTGCTGTCTTTCGGGACACTCTAATGAGTACACAAATACAAAATGGCAACCGATTTTTTGATGTGAACTGATAACAGATTTTTATTATTATCTCGATTTAACAATAAGTTAAAATTTTATATTTTCGATATAAAACACAATTTATATGGAGAATATGAGTGATTACGGATCTTTATTGTTTTCTCGAATTGAGAGTTATTTAAAGTAAATTTTCAAAGAGTTATCTTTATCTTTAGCATTTGTGGTTGTATTAAACATTCTCTTCCTCAAACTAACCTAACCTTCCCCTATAAAACAATTGTCATGCAAAATTTCATGAATCATAAAATCCATATCAAAAAGCTGATTCAAAAAATACACTGTATGTTGGCAAATTTCTTGAAAATCCGTTCATGTTTTTTTATAGTTAGCCTAGAAATTTGGTGTTATAGCTGTCATTCTAAAAGTGAACATAAAACTGTGCGTAGCATCTAATAAATATCATATAGAGTCTTTTTTAACCTCTAGAACTATTAATATTATTATTATGTAAATAAGTTTAGTAGTTATGTAGTGAAAGAATAAAAAAAGAGTCTCATATACATATATTTATTATTCTATATTATACGTTTTGAAGATGTAATGTGTCGTTCTGTTCATTTCACAACATTCATTATAACAGATTTCATGAAAATCGGATCAGTAGTTTTTTGTATGCCTGAACGTAAATTTGGTTTAATAATTGTTTTACAAAAAGTTGGCGTAAAAAGGGGCACGGCGTCCGATCCAGATCCTGAGCTCAGACCTATTGATATAGAAAAAAGTGAGCATAAGTAGAATCATGACGTCCAATCATGATTTTATATAGCCTATTGTTCCACTTTTGAATCGAACTATTAGTGTTCTAAATTTCATGTAAATCGGTTCAGTAGTGGCATCGGATCAAGATCTTATATATAGCCTATAGTTCTTTCCGAGCTTATACCTATCGGTATGGAGGTAAATCGGTTTAGTAGTTTTTGCATATTGTGATTGCAAAGTTGGTGTAATAAGAGTTTTACAAAAAGTGCGCGTAAAAATGGGCGTGGCATCCTATCAAGATCTAATATAGCCTATTGTTCCTTAGGGGGTTAGACCTATTAGCGGTCAAAATTTCATGTAAATCGGTTTAGTAGTTTTGCAAACAGTCTGTTTTATATAAATATATAGAATAGTAATTTATATGCGAACCGTAGTATAGAAAAATATGTCTCTTCATGAATAAAACGCAACTTTGTTTTTAAAAATCCGTTAGCAATTGACGACGTTATTGATCTTTTTATTAATACAAAATTGTTCAAAAACTTATATTCTGAACGATGCTTTATATGGGGATATATAAAATTTGTTGGAAGGATTTATGTTTATAAAAGTTATTTATGCTGAATTTCATCATGATATTAATATAATTAAGAGAATTGGAGTCAGTTGCTGAAGGAGGGTTTTCATGGGGACTAGGGTCAAATAAGTCCGTCTTAATTATATTAGTATCACAATGAAATTCGGCATAAATAACTTTTAAATAAACATAAATCATTCCACCAATAAATCAGTTTTTGAACAATTTTGTGTTACGATTAAGATCAATAACGCCGTCAACTGCTAATGGATTTTGTAAAACAAGGTTGCGGTTTACTCATCATCATATCCAAACATGAAAAATGGTGCAAAACTAAAATCAAAAATAACTTTGTTAATGAAATACACATATATTTCTCCAGCTTATTTAAACATCATATATGTATGTCATTATAAAGACCTCAGCTTTTTCTTTCTACATCCGTTAAGAAACTTAAAATCTGTGGAGATTCGACTATGTGACTGTGATTATGTGTGGTTATAAAGACCTCAGCTTTTTCTTTCTACATCCGTTAAGAAACTTAAAATCTGTTGACATTCGACTATGTGACTGACTTATAAGTGCTTAAAGGTACGAAAGCCCGGATTTTTACCCGTATCTCAAGATTTTGGAGGTGGTAGGCAAATTTAAAAAACAAATTCTTGTTCAACTCTGATCCGCTTTTCAGAAAAAGGGTACAGGTTAACAGGAATATATTTTTGTCGTATAGTGTTATAAATAAAAGTATTCGAAAATTATCGCTTTAAGTTATTTTAAGAAAAGCAAATAAAAAATATTTTTAGCAATAACTTAAATGGTAAAAATATTGTTAGAAAAATTTTATTTGAAGTCCGTCAGTGAACTTATTAGTTAACATATTTAATGCAATATTCTTTCGTTTCAGTTTTATAACAGCATGGTACGGTTGCATGTTTCGGGGACTAGTTCCACTTCCTATTGAATTACCTTTATCAAGTTCTGATACTCCGCCGCAACAAGTTGGTTTTCTTCTGAGCTCATGTGGAATTACCGTGGCACTTACGTCGGAAGCTTGCTTAAAAGGTCTACCTAAATCAAGTACCGGAGAAATCGCTAAACTCAAAGGATGGCCTCGTTTACAGTGGTTTGTTACAGAGCATTTGCCTAAACCACCAAAAGATTTTACTGTTGGAAATATGCGTGTAGAAGACACAGCGACTGCATATATAGAGTATACCACTGATAAGGAAGGAAGTGTTATGGGTAAATATCACGTATTCTTTACATTTACGAATTCCGCAAAATGTGGGTCATCAAATTTATAAATCGTCACCTGAAACGCAAACGGCCCTAACTAACCAAGAATTCAAATTCATTGTTGATTATAATGTATTGCATCAAAACAAATGTCCACACAAAAAATTGGACTCCTCCGACCAAAATTAGCGATTTTATTGACACAAAACCAAAGGACCTATCTACAAAAACATTTAAATATTAAAGGTAAAAAGTCCAATTTATCCATTTTTATATACGCCATTGTCAACTATCATAACAACTGATAGGTTTCACTATTAAACAATTTGTTTATTTACTACAAATAAATCGCGTTGATAGAAACAAACTTTTCAATTTCAATAGTTTTTTGCTTCTCCTGTAAAATTTTAAAAACGTTAGATAGGACCGTTTGCGTTTTAGGTACTATATTTATTTCTTTAAGTACTTTTCTTGCATCTCATTTTAATTTGGCATAACTTGTTGTTATGCCCCATCACACATAGGCTATAAATCTTGTTCTCCGTTTATATATACACTTGACAGATTTGACAATTGAATTAAAAATATATCAGCTTCTTTTAAATTTAAAGTGATTTTGTAACAAAAAGAATTAATTTTATTGTTTTATTTAATTTAAATATTTTTATTTTGGAGAAATCTCGTTACAAACTAGATTTTGTTTTGAATGGGAAATCTAGTCAAATAAATTAGATTTTGATAGAAATCTCAACTAAATGAGATTTCATATATCTGTGAATTATGGATGTCAATCCCGAAATCCCGGGATTTGCCATCATAAATTTCAGGATTAGGATAAAACGAATCCCGTTTTTTTCTTAAACATTACTTATAAATTTATTGGGCCATAACTTCAAATTAACTTGAAATTACGGTATATTTTTTCTATATACATATTTATATACTAAACTTGTTTATTGTTGAATTTTTTATATCATGAATTCCAGGAAAGAACACAGAAAAACTGACCATTTTTGACCACATGTCTTCCAATTTCTATCAAATTATCAATATATGTATGTTCTTTATGTAGAAAATAAATAATCTCCGTTGTTTATTTTGAAAATTTTCAAGAAACGCGATTCGAATTTGTTCGAAAACTACAAAAAATTAAAGAGGTATACAACTTTGAAATTTTATATCTTTGAGAGTTTATATTCGACATTCGAAAAACAGTCACCAAAAAGTGCCACCAATATTTTTTGTAAATATTGTTTTGTAAAATGTCTTCTTACACTTATATCAATACAACACAATTTAAATCTGTATAGTCCAATCTCCCAAAATACATTTTTTGATCATTAAATGAAGCTGTTTTTTAAACGTTGTTAAAAAGCACTTTTTAAAAAGTATTCATAAGTGATAATTTCTTAAAACCTGATTTTAAATTACTTTAAAAATACGGAAGATCTTTCAAAATCTCAATTATAAATATAATAAAGTCTTAATTTTCACCTAAAAGAAAAAAATTAAAACTAAGGTAAATATTATACTCAAAAAATGCTTAAAACATATTCTATTGTAATGTCCAATATATCCGACAAAACCACGTAAAGGGTTAACCAAACTATGTATTTGAATTTTTAAAGGGTTTCTTAGGAATACACTAATAGTCCAGGATATCGTGTAATATTGTGTCCGCTAAGCGAGATATTGGCTGTCAAAGGTCACAAAAATCAATTTTGACGAATATCTCACATATTACGTAGAGAATTACATTTCCTACATTTTAGTTAAATACTACATGCAATATTTGTTATAATACATTATTTGTTCATTGCAATGATATTTTGAAATCTGATGATATAGGTCTGAAATTATAAATTCAATGGTATATTACCGGCATTGATAACGATATTGTACCGGTATAAGAGTAAATGGTATTTGAATACCGGTATTTATACCGATAAACTCATTTCGGTATCGGTATCAATACCGCTATTAAATTTCAAAGTTTTATACCTTTTTGATTTTTTGTAGTTTTCTAACAAATTAAAACCGACACTAAAATCGCGTTTCTTGAAATTTTTCAAAATAAAAAAAGGAGTTTTATTTTCTACATAAAGACCATATCGTCCCTGTTTTGAATTTTAGTACTATGTGGATTTTTTCGACATTTTTTTATTGTTGCAATTTGTAGCCTTACTGGTTATACTTAAATATGTGTACAAAAGCATTTATCGACATCTTAATTGGTTTAGGATTTAGCAAAAGTAGTAGCTCCAACAAAAAGTCCTATGTGTTTAAAATTATATTGATTTAAATCACAAATCTGCCATAATAATATTTTATTTACACTAGTTAATATAATACCGTAAATAGTGGATCATCCTGCCTTTTGGTGCACTCATCAACTTAAAATCAATTTATGGGTCGATTCAATTTCGTCCGTCCTCTTTCTATGGAACTTGCACTTGCACTTGCGGTACTTATATTCAGTGTTACCATATGTCAAGTTTTCCCTTTTTTTGCAAGTTTTTTGAGATTCAAAAAAGTTTTCAAGTTTTATTCCAATAAAAAAAAGTTTTTTGAAAATTTATACAGTTTTTCAGTTTTTATTTTATTTAATCAATAAATAAGTTTAAAATAAAAAAACAATGTTTACCATTAACAAAATAATATTTTATACCATTAATATTCGAGATATTCCTAAAAACTGAAAAAAATTGACTGGTGTTGATGACCTTAATCCCTTAGAATAGACGTTAAGGAAACAATGCACTTCGACCATATTGTAGAGATTTTGTGCAGCCCATTGGTTCACCATACTAGGCCAAATTCGCGCATGAAGATAAATGGATTAATCGGTGAGTGTTTGAAGATATCATCTGGGTCTGGGTAAGACAAAATCTTCGTGTTTCGAGTTCCCAATGACGGGTAGTTACAAAAGTTCAGAGGTTTCCTCTTGTAGTACACAGAATCTACATAGATTCATCATGACATTTCAAGTGTAAATTTATGGTGTCTAAGACCACAATATCCAGTAATTCCTTGCTACTGATGTTAAGGAAAAGTTCTGTACCAATTATCATTAAGCTATTTAAAATTCCTCAATTTGCTCATTTTTTCACTAATTTTTCTTGGGTATTTTGTAATTTTAGTACAAAAAAGTTTTTTTTGTTGAAAAAAGTTTTTTTCATAAAAATAAAAAGTTTTCTTCAAAAAATGTATGGCAACACTGCTTATATTAAAAAACAAAGTGGGCTGTATTTCGCACACCGATTACAAAGAAATTTTGTGGGACTAGTCTAAGTATTTGTTAGACTAAGTACACCAAATTAAATTTCAAATTGAAAGTTTAATTGCAACTTCTAAACTTATTTGAAATTTTGCATAGAGAGATTTTGTGCTAATAAGTCGAAATTTTAAGATAAATGATTTAATAACAATTAAAAAAGTATTTTCTAATGATTTAAGCAAGAACAGTAAACAGTAATAGTGTTTATCTAATTGACATTTTTAAGTAACACTGCTAGGGAAAATGAAAATTAAATAATTCGAAAACAACTGATGATCCGAGAAAATAATATTTAACATCAAAAAACGTACGACGAACAATAATAAAGATATATGCAGAGATTTGATCCCTATGACCTTTGACTTCGACTATCTCATCTAGATGATGCTGCACACCTGTTTTTATATTACCGTCTTAAATTCTTCATTTTGATCAATTTGTCCGCTAATTTACAAAGATAAATATCGCTTATTTTATGGATTTCAGAGTTGGGGGTAGTGCACTAAATTTGCAGTTTCCACTAAATGTTAGTGATAGTGCAAACTTTTTCACTATCACTAATAGATATATAGTGGTGAGTTGAAAAATTACAGCCTCACTAAGCAATAGTGGTAGTGGTACAAGAAAGTTTTTCACTAAAATTAATTTAGTGATAGTGAAAACCCTTTTTTTACAGCTTAGTGCAAATTTTTTTTCTCCACTAACAGGATAGTGGAAAAATATAATCATTCACTAATGTTAATGGAACTCAAAAAAAATAAATTTATGAAAAAATATATTTTGAAAAACAACATAAAAATTGTACGACAAGAAATTAAAAGGTTTGTCATTCAAATTGCATCCGGGATCAAGAGGCCACATTTTATTTCGTATTTTGGTACTATTTTCGTTGTTTTTTAAGGCCTTTATCTATCGTATATTTTTGACATTTTCTTTCATTTATTACGAACGAATTCATTTTCTAAAAACCATAAACATGTATGTATGTATATGATTTTTCTTTAATACAATTAAAAATAATAAAATAGAAATATTTTGAACATACATATATACATATGTATTTTCAATTTGTTTGGATTATTTTTACAAACACTATTTTTTGAGATTTTAGTGCATATTAAAGCATTCATGTAGTGACTGTTAAACATTTGCACTATTTTATTGTAGTGCAAAATTTTCACTACCACTAATGGTTAGTGGTAGTGGAAAAATTTTCACTACCACTATTTTTTTTAGTGGTAGTTAAAATATGTTTCACTACCACTAATTTTTTTAATGGTAGTTAAAATATGTTTCACTACCACTATAGTGATAAAAAAATAGTGGAAAATCAAAATTTCGTCACTATAGTGTTAAAAATTAAGTTATTTTTCAAAATACATATTAATTACATTAGTTAAAGAATCCGAAAAGATGCATATTTTTCTATACAGCTAAATTAGCCTAACCCAGGGGTCGGCAAACTTTTGAGTCGGAAGAGCCAAAACTTACAGTTTACAAAACATGTGTTTTAAAAGAGCCACAAAATATTTGTTTATTAAAACATTACAAATGAATTTTTGTGGGTCACTCGAATGCGTTTTTAACACTTGTTATATAAAGATATAAAAGTTTATTAGAGTGGGGCGACAGTGATATCATTTAAAAGGCATTTGCCATAATACAGTGTCATAGTTATGTATATTAATTAGGCAGCGAGATAAAATTTTGCACAAGTTTTTTTATGTGA